TTGAAATATCTTGACTTAGTTTGAGTCTGAATCAATATTTGAAATATCTTAACTTAGCTTTTGCCTGGAACAACACTTGAACTATCTTAACTTAGTTTGAGTAATGAACAATACTTGAAATAACTTAACTAAGTTTGAGTCTTGGACAATACTTGAAATTTCTTAACTTAGCTTGTGTCTGGAAGAATATTTGAAACATCTAAACTGGGTTTGAGATTGGAACAATACTTGAAATATCTTTACTGAGTCTGAGTCTGGGACAAAACTTAAAATATCTTTACTTAGCATGTGTCTGGAACAATACTTGAAATATTTTATTGAGTTTGAGTCTGGAGCAACAATCGAAATTTTTTAATTTAGCTTGTGCCTGGAACAACACTTGAAATATCTTTACTTAATTTGAGTCTTAACTTAGTTTGAGTCTGAAAAAATAATTGTAATATCTAAGATAAGCTCAAGTATGGAAAAATACTTGAAATATCTTATGTAATCTTGAGTCTCGAACAAAATTTTAAATATCTTCACTTAGTTTGAGTCTGGAACAATACTTGAATCATCTTCACTAAGTTTGAGTCCGGGACAATACTTGAAATATCTTGACTTAGTTTGAGTCTGAATTAATATTTGAAATAACTTAACTAAGTTTGAGTTTTGAACAATACTTGAATTTTTTTTAACGGAAGAATATTTGAAACATCTTAACTGGGTTTGAGATTGGAACAATACTTGAAATATTTTAACTGAGTTTGAGTCTGGAACAACAATCGAAATTTCTTTACTAAGCTTGTGTCTGGAACAACACTTGAAATGTTTTTACTTAATTTGAGTATTAACTTAGTTTGAGTCTAAAACAATAATTAAAAATATCTAAAATTAGCTCAAGTATGGAAAAATACTTGAAATATCTTATCTAAACTTGAATCTGGAACAATACTTTAAATATCTTAACTTAGTTTGAGTCTGGAACAATACTTGAAATATCTTCACTAAGTTTGAGCATGGAGCAATACTTGAAATATCTTGACTTAGCTTGTGTCTGGAACAACACTTGAAACATCTTAACATAGTTTGAGTCTTGAACAATACTTGAAATATCTTAAATAAGTTTTAGTTTGGAAAAATACTTAAAAAATCTTAACTCAGCTTGAGTCTTGAACAATACTTGAAATATTTTAACTGAGCTTGAGTCTGGAATAACAATTGAAATTCCTTAACTAAGCTAGTGTCTGGAACAACATTTGAAATATCTTTACTTAATTTGAGCCTTAATTTAGTTTAAGTCTGGAATAATAATTGAAAAATCTAACTTAGTTTGAGAATTGAAGAATACTTGAAACATCTTAACTTAGATTGAGTCTGGGACAACACTTGAAATATCTTAACTTAGCTTGAGTCTTGAACAATACTTGAAATATTTTAATTGAGTTTGAGTCTGGAACAACACTTGAAATTTCTTAACTAACCTTGTGTCTGGAGCAACACTTGGAAAATCTTTACATAATTTGAGTCTTTACTTAGTTTGAGTCTGGAATAATAATTAAAATATATAAACTTAATTTGAGTCTGGAACAACACTAAAAATATCTTAACTAAGTCTGAGTCTTGAAGAATACTTGAAACATCTTAACTTAGTTTGAGTCTTGAAGAATACTTGAAATATCATGACTTTACTAAGTGTGAGTTTGGAACAATAATTTAAATGTCTTAGTTTGAGTCTGAAACCATACTTGGAATATCTTTACTTAGTTTTAGTCTAGAAGAATTTTGAAATTTTTTAACTTTGTTTGAGTGTGGAAATTTTTTTCAAAAACTTAGTTTGAGTCTTGGACAATACATGAAACAGCTTAACTTAGTTTGCATCTGGAACAATACTTAAAATATCTTACCTTAGTTTGAGTCTGGAACCACACTTGAAATATCTTAACTTGGTTTGAGTCTTTGAGAATACTTGAAATATCTTAAATTTACTAAGTTTGATTTTTGAACAAAAATTTCTTAGTTTGAGTCTGGAACAATACTTGAAATATCTTTACTTAGTTTGAGTCTTGAAGAATAGTTGAAAAATCATAGCTTAGTTCGAGTCTGGAACAATACTATTATTAAAATATCATAACTTAGTTTGAGTCTTGAACAATACTTGTAATATCTTTACTTAGTTTGAGTCTTGAAGACTAGATGAAATATCATAACTTAGTTTGACTCTGGAACAATACTTGAAACATCTTAACTTAGTTTGAGCTTTGAATACATGCATTTACTAATGAAGTGCAAGAAAGATCTGGTTTACATGTACTTTAAACATGCTATGCTCAAATCATAATTCATAAGAGCTTTCCGCTTAGGTAGCTAGATATTGTATGATGCAACACTTTTGTCTTTTATGCAGTTGATTGATATCATTGACTTTGTAAACAAAAACGATTTCATGTATTGTTGTATGCAAATTATTTTGAAAAACGATAAAATAGTACTGGAATTAAAAAGGATTTTTCTGAACGTGTTAAGTTATCTTTCCTCAATCTTTATTTATAAGATATCATATGATATGATATTTGTCAGATAGAGTAACCTCCCCCAAAAAAATTCAAATTATGTTATTTAATCTATCCACCGAAAATTGCAAATGGAGTGAGAAAGCATAGGGAAACTCCTAAAGAAAGAAAAAAGGGAAATCACAAACATTTCATGTTTAGTCAGATGGAGTAACCTCCCCTGAAAACAAAGGGAAATCATTCTAACCTTAAATTCTAAATCTTGAGAGAGTAACCTTAAATTATTAATCCTGATAGAGTAACCTCCCCTGAAAACAAAGGGAAATCACTCTAATCTTTCTTTATTAAACCAGATAGAGTAACCTCCCCTGAAAAAACAAAGGGAAATTACTCTTACTTTAAATAACTAATCCTGACAGAGTAGCCTCCCCTGAAAACAATGGGAAATCACTCTTACCTTTCATTTTTAAGTCAGACAGAGTAACCTCCCCTGAAAACAAAGGGAAATCACTCTAATCTCTTTATTAAACCAGATAGAGTAACCTCCCCTGAAAAAAGAAAGGGAAATTACTCTAACCTTAAATAATTAATCCTGACAGAGTAACCTCCCCTGAAAACAAAGGGAAATCACTCTAACCTTTCATTTTTAAGTCAGATACAGTAACCTCCCCTGAAAACAAAGGGAAATCACTCTTACCTTTAATTTTAAGTCAGACAGAGTAACCTCCCCTGAAAACAAAGGGAAATCACTCTTACCTTTCATTTTTAAGTCAGATACAGTAACCTCCCCTGAAAACAAAGGGAAATCACTCTTACCTTTAATCTTTAAGTCAGACAGAGTAACCTCCCCTGAAAACAAAGGGAAATCACTCTTACCTTTCATTTTTTAAGTCAGATACAGTAACCTCCCCCGAAAACAAAGGGAAATCACTCTTACCATTAATCTTTAAGTCGGACAGAGTAACCTCCCCTGAAAACAAAGGGAAATCACTCTAACCTTAAATTATTAATCCTGATAGATTAACCTCCCCTGAAAACAAAGGGAAATCACTCTAATCTTTCTTTATTAAACCAGATGGAGTAACCTCCCCTGAAAAAAGAAAGGGAAATTACTGTAACCTTAAATAATTAATCCTGACAGAGTAACCTCCCGTGAAAACAAAGGGAAATCACTCCTACCTTTAATTTTAAGTCAGACAGAGTAACCTCCCCTGAAAACAAAGGGAAATCACTCTAATCTTTCTTTATTAAACCAGATGGAGTAACCTCCCCTGAAAAAAGAAAGGGAAATTACTGTAACCTTAAATAATTAATCCTGACAGAGTAACCTCCCGTGAAAACAAAGGGAAATCACTCCTACCTTTTATTTTAAGTCAGACAGAGTAACCTCCCATGAAAACAAAGGGAAATCACTCTAACCTTAAATTATTAATCCTAATACAGTAACCTCCCCTGAAAACAAAGGGAAATCACTCTAATCTTTCTTTATTAAACCAGATGGAGTAACCTCCCCTGAAAAAAGAAAGGGAAATTACTCTTACCTTAAATTATTAATCCTGATAGAGTAACCTCCCCTGAAAACAAAGGGAAATCACTCTTACCTTAAATTATTAATCCTGATAGAGTAACCTCCCGTGAAAACAAAGGGAAATCATTCTTACCTTTCATTTTTAAGTCAGACAGAGTAACCTCCCTCGAAAGAAACAAAGGGAAATCACTCTTACCTTTCATATTTAAGTCAGACAGAGTAACCTCCCTCGAAAGAAAATAAGGGAAATCACTCTTACCTTTCATTTTTAAGTCAGACAGAGTAACCTCCCCTGAAAACAAAGGGAAATCACTCTTCATTTTTAAGTCAGACAGAGTAACCTCCCCTGAAAAAACAAAGGGAAATCACTCTTACCTTCCATTAAGTCAGATAGAGTAACCTCCCCTGTAGAAAAAAGGGAAACAACTCTATTTATTCTATAGTCTGGTCCATTGAATTTATCGAAAGATTTTGTTGTTGAAAAAAAACGGCGATAATATTGATGTTTATTTCGGCTGTTGCGTTGTTTATATTACCGTTGAAGTTTAAAATTGACCATCTTCTGGACCAAAGGATTATGTGAAAATATTGGAAATGGAATAAAATACATGGTGATTATGACGGTAGGGGTGCGGAATTTTTCCGGCGAACATTTTTATCTTGTGTATTATTATAGTTGTTGAAATATGATTTTTTTTCAAAACGGCATATATTAAGATTTTTTGATATATATGATCAGTACATGTCCTGGGATTGACAAATATGCATTTTATTTGGATTTTAAAGGCGTTTTGAGCTCCAAACCTCAAGTGTCTGTGATACCCTCATGGTAAGAATTCATTGCCATTGGTAAAATTTATGCTTGCTTTAACTGAAATTTGAAATGTTAGTACAACAGAAAATTTTATGTAATCTTCGAAAATCATGCTGTTTTAAGATCAGTAACTGTCGTATATGGAGATATTGAATCAAACCCTGCAAAAGTTTTTGATGTATTTTTTAATAAGTTTATAAGACACAATTTACTTGAGAATGATAACAAAGATTATCTAAACACAAAATAAAATGATGCATAATATTGTTACTGGCCGACTTCTCGTTGAAATCTCGTGTTAGCTGGTCAGACATATAATTCATGCAGACGCTCATTAATTTAAATTTACATAAAGCGTCTGCCACCATTACTATTTGAACAAATTTTCCACATCGTTGGAACAGATGGTTATTGTCTTGTGTATAGATTAGTTTTGATTGATGGACTATAACATTTTGTTTTAGCTCATTGTAATCTCTATTTTGTAGTATTTTATTCGCTGTTACATCCGTGACACATGTCTTTTTTAGTAACGTAGTAACGTGAAATAATACTGTATAATATAATTAAAAGTAAAAAATGTAAATTTTCATTAGCTAGAACTGTTTGTTATATCCACTTCATTGTCAAACTTTTTGGGCCCGAATGCCCCGCCCTGTTTTCTGTAGAACATGTATGTGGCGAACACGCCTATGATGAAAAATACGACCAGCAAAGCCACGCCCATTCCAGCCATTGCTCCTGGAAAACAAGTGAGAATTAGTTTGGATAGGCATTTATACGAAAACTTGTATTTCATTAAATAAATGCTTAATTAGAAGAGAGACAACCCTAGTATCAGAATGGTAATGCATGTATGTACTAGTTTTCTCCCTTTACAAGTTAAATTTTTCATCAAAATATTTAGTTTAAATAAAAACATAAATTTATTTTAACATTCCTCGTAAATATTATGAATATGTCTACTTGATTTGTATAGTTATATAAAATGACGAAATTAACCCTTTTATACTATTATAACAAAATTTTGCAAAATGAACCACGATATTTTGTTTTGTTTCGAGTAATGTACCCTTTTGATGGCTGCAGATATTTTTATATTTTTGGAATGTAAAACTGTAGAAGGAAATTATTTTGTGGTGTTCAATCTTCACAATGGAAAAATATATTTTGTACATACCACCGGAAACACCGGTAGTAGTCGTTGATCCCTGCTGCGTTTGCTTGTAATAGGCATCTTTCACAACTGTGCCAGGTGTAAGTGAAAACGGCCTCGCAACCATGGTTGCCTTAAAACAATTACAATTTTTAAACCTTATTAATAGAAGAGTTTTTTTTAATTTTATATATTGGCTGAATTTAGAAAAAAGTAGTCCAGTGAGACACCGGTGAAAATACGGAAAATATGTTTCACTGCAGTGAAAAGTATTTTTACTGTGAAAATACGGACAATAAAATACGCATTTTAGTTTTCAATATTTCTCGATATTTCATTGATAAGTATGTACTGACATGATAGATGTATACTTACTGTAGCAGTTGGCGACTGCAGACTCACAATCATCTGGCCGGCGTTTATTGCACCGGAAATAGATTTTGCGACAACGGCCAGACTGTTTTCCGGCTTTGGGTTGCTGACGTCACCTGTATAATTGACATTTATTCCTTTGTCTATTTCATTGATATTTAGGAATTAACGTTCTGGATTTAACGTTATAAAAGTTTACAAATATTTCCTACAACTTGTAAAGATATAGTCTAGTAAAAGAAAATCTGTTAATGTTGTAAATAATTGATAACTGTATTAAAGCTCAAATGTGTTTACAATTAATAGCTTTTAAAAATAATTTTCTTCTTTGAGTCTGCTTTCGTGAATTACCCGCAGTATAATCGTCATTAAGCAAAAAAAAAATGACCGTGACCTCTCCAGGGCTGAAACCAACAAGTTAAAATTTGAAAGGCGGACAGCTTTACCTGTAAGCCACCACTCCAGCCCCAAATCGTCACTCAAGAGAGCGTCTTTTATTAATAATATGTTTTAAAATACACCAAACTGATTCAAAAGGCATAAAAGAGCAAACATAGTTTTCAACACTATTCGGATACACCTCTGATATAGATATATTCTGTAGGATTGAAACAATGTGCATTACCTATTTGTGGTGCCTTGTCCAATAATGTAAATTGTACGGTTATATCGTTGTTGTCAGAGTAGTCAGTCTGCAAAATAAATAAAATTAAAATGTGTTATTGTTGGCAAGGATTTTTATGGTGGCTGATTTGGAACACTTTAGTGCGTCGTATTGTCGCTAGCGACAGCACGACAAATGGCCAAACGACGCGTTGTCGGACTTTCGTCTTGTCGTCCTGTCGCGAACGACGCAAGCCAAACGGTGCGTTGGCGTCCGACGTGTTGATGTAACATTGTCGCTTGGCTCGAATGATTGGCGACTTTGCGACAACGCGCCGCACGACAACACGCCGTTTAGCGTGCTTCGCTAGCGACAGGACGACAAGACGATAGTGCGATAACGCACCATTTGGCGTAATACGCTAGCGACAATACGATAACGATATAGGTTGTGTTATCGCTACCGACAATGCAACGCGCAAAATGTACTAAATCAGCTACCATAGATTTTAGTTCCATTTCTAAACCTAAATATCTGTCATGCTTTTGGTCCGGATAGCAAAATCCGTCCCGAGGATGTCCCGGCATTGGGCGGTAACGCTACTAAGGCTGGTGCCCTAGGGACGGATAGTCCGATCTGAACCACAAAGCTATCTCAAATATTTTTATTGCATAGTCTACCATATTCTACGGCATTCTAAATAAAAATTGTCTCAATTAAATAAATTTCATGGAAATCAATTCCAGTTTGTCCATATATATTTTATCATAGTAGAGTATGTATACATGTATATAAGTTCATTAATAACGGCGAAATGACGTTATCCTAGGCACACAGTTTCAGTCTAAAAATGGTCGAAATGACGTCATTTTAACGTTCTTCCTTCAATGACGTTATTTTAAAGTAATTTCCGGCACCCGTCCTAAATGCATTAAAAGAGCACAAAACTCTTCCCGGATTCTGACCTGATTAGGCCTCCTTGTTTAATATATAATTTAAACAAAGAATTACTAACTAATTTCAACTTTATGAAATCACGATTTCAACTTCACGAATTCAACTTCGTGAATTCTTGGTTTATAACTTCACGAATTTCTGATTTCTACTTCACGAATTCACGATTTCAGCTTCATGAATTCACGACTCAAACTTCATGAATTCACGATTTCTACTTCGCGAACTCACAATTTCAACTCTTTGAAGCTGAAATCGTGAACGCATGAAGTTGAAATCATGATTTATATATGTAGAAAATGGAATTCAAATTCAAATTGTGAATTCGTGAAGATGAAATCAAGAATTCACGAAGTTGAAATGGCACTATCGGTCTTTCGTAGGAACTCGATGGAATACTCACCTGCACATTGTTAATACGAAGCATAGACAGTGGGATTTTGTTGACAGTTCCCGCCTTTACGATAGCTCTGATGATGGCGTAACGGAACCCTTCCATATTTCCATTGACCGTTTTTCGGTAACTTCCTGCAACAAATGAAACACAATTTTGTTTATTTAACTTCATCTTTTTTGTTTGTTTCATGATGTTTATATTCCTTGTCAAAAAGAACAATCATTATGTAGGTCGAGGGCATTCTATACTCTACTGTTCACAACATATGAATTACAATCCACAATTCAATAATTACATAATTAGGTTATATATAGTCACATGTTATTTAATCAATAAGGAACAAATAATATGTTTTTGTCTAATTTCATGAAATGTCCATAATACCACAAAAGGAAACTCGTTTGGAATTATACGGACTGCCTTAACTATTAAAGTATTACTTTCGCAATAAACTAATAGATGGCCCAAACATTTAGCTGCGTTCAACCCGAATCACACCGTCACGCATGCGCATTTTAACTTCAGTTGTCCACTCCCCAACCCAGCTTAGATGAAGCGAAATAATCAACTTAAACAGTTGGGAAATTTTAAAACTTTCAAAAATCATCTTATGCTTAGTATGTTAGAAATTGAAAAAAGTTAAACTTTCGTAAATGAAATAAATATTATAAAATAAATGTACCTGGCAGTTTAAAAGAAAAGTCTTTACGTTCAGTGTAGTTAAAACAATTACTGATGTCATACGACCAAATCATTGGTCGGTTTTCTTGATAGTTGTAAATATTGTAAACATAATGCTGACCCTGAAAGTAGAAATGAAATGGTAAAACTTCGTTTATTTCCGCCTTTCTTCGACCTTTTCCGTAATTCTTCCGATGAATGAACAAATTTACGAAACATTAACAAAAATACGTCTGCTTAGGGCTATTTATTGCTCGAATCTATGTGAAATTATTTTTTGTACTTTAAACTTTACTTAATACGTGAATAAGTTAGCAAGTTAACCAAAAATTATTCACAAAAGTATATTAATCCTTATAGTTTAAACGGCGTTACAGAGTCACGTTATTTATAAATAGACGCTCATTAAAAATCAAGACAACAAGCGTCTAAAGAATATTCCAGAATATCACAAAATTTTACATACCAGTCCAGCATCCAAAACCATTCTTGTCGGGTTACCAAATGATGTTGGTGCATTAGTTGTATAGTTCCGCTGAAAATAGGAATATCCGGGTGACATGACGTAATAAAATGCAAGTGACGTCATGAGATATTTAGATATCAGTCAAATAAGACTTATAAGCCCGCAGACACTTGGGGTTTGGAGCTCAAAACGCCTTGTGTCTGTGTTATGTATTACATCAAAACTACCTTTTTTCAATTTCTGAATCACTTTAAATATTCAAAGAAAAAACTTAGTAATGTAATTACAATAATGATACCGTACGGTAGCTAGCTAGTCTTTTTTTAAAGTTCTTAAAACAAATACTCTATTTATTTTGAAATTCATTGAGATTTTCTATAAAAAATATATGTCTGCAGGTTGCAGGTAGCAGGATAGTTAAGCTTACGGAATTAAACGGAAACATACGGAAATAAACGAATGGCAAAGGCCACCCACAATGGCAAAAATGGAAAATGTTGAAGGTTTCGATCTTAACGAGCTTGTTTATCGACGTTTACATAAATGTGAGCTATCGTTCACGTCCCCCGCCAATCCCACCCCACCCCCTCCCTCGTCCGCCTCCCACGTACCATCTAAATTACTTACTTTCGCAAAATACCATTCCCACGTAGAATTAGCAGAGTTCGGTCTAGGCCAATCGTTTCTTTGAGCTATCCATACGTCACTGGTAATACTACGGACAAGTCTCTGAAAAACAAGAAGATATCATTTTCTTTGAAATGACATTATGGTATTTCTTTATTTTTTGCTATCTTGTTGAGTTGAATTATTAAATTAAATATATTTCAAGAGATTGACTTTTGTGTAACGGTGATTGACCATTACATAATTATAAACATGCTTTTGAATGACTTATCGGGTATATATTATTAAAAGACTGACCAACTCTTAAAAGAATCAACGTTACCGACGTTCTTGATGGTTTTTGGTCACGTAGTTTATTGATTTTTTAGATAGAAAAATATAGAATTGAACACAAAACGGTCTTGTGGTGAACGTGTACACAGATTTTTTTTAATTTGTTCAATTATACATTTGTTAGGTTTTATGCCATTACTATATTTTGATGTCATATATTTCGCTTTATGTAACACCGGCACTTTAAATGTCAGCAACTTATCCAGCCTTACACCTTGTTCAGGCACTCATTAAGTCTTTTACACTGAGTAGAACGATCGACCTTCCCTTAGCGAGTCCCTTACAGGTTGGTGAAGTTTTCATGTAATTAGAAGTCACCAAACTTAATCATTCTGGACATGGAGTCACAGAGTAAAATGTTTGACATTTACGGAAAAAAGAACCAAGTAGACAAGAAATATACCGTAAATTAGTAACTTAAAATATATTATATTTATCAATAAACTGCTATTTAAAGTTACATGTATTCAGAAAAAAACGTACCTGTCCCTCATAGATGTAAGAGGCTTTGTCGAAGTAAAAGAACTCCTTTGACGTCCTTATACGCACGTGCGTAGGATCTGCATTTCTGACGTCAAATCCAGTATTAGCAATTGGCGTCGCTGTGCAGTTCCCTCTCAAAGTATCAATAACGTACGCAACACCTGAAGACAAAATGTGTATGAATGTTTTATATTAATTCTGAGAGATGCCCTGCTTTAAAATGTTTAGTATATGAATGTTCATGTACATTTAATTGCTTTGATCTATTCTTTAAAGAAGTAAAGTAATCATAAGTATATATAGGTTCTTGGAAATAGATCAGTATTTTGATCGATGTTTAATAAAAGTAAAATAAACCTAAGAATATAGGTAGATATACATATTTATTGTTTTCTTACTTTATTTTTTTCTTCTTAACTTGAACCAAACAATAAATTAACATTTATATCATTACTGTCAATTTACATATACATTGTCCATGTTTAATACAGTTCGGAAAAAAGTTCTATGTTGGAATCGCAAGTATTTCGTTACGAATGGTTTTGCTTAAATAATGCCGTAACATGTTATGGAAAATAAATTAAAATAAGCTATTTTATACTCATCAAATCTTTACACTAATGGAAGCATTAACATTTTGTTTTGATAGTACAATATGGAACGCCGTGACTGTCTTATGCTATCAATGTTTTTGCTATCTTGTAAAATGATGATATTATTTTGTCATTTAAGCATATTAACATGTGCAATGTACATCATATCTTGTCAAAAGACAATGCTGACTTGTTCAAACAGCATGTTAACTTGTCAAATAATTATCATGACATGTGCAGACAGCATGTTAACTTGTCAAAGTATCATGATGACTTGTGAAAACGTTATGTTAACTTGTCAAAATATCATGATGACTTGTGCAAACGACAAGTTAACTTGTCAAAATTTCATGATGACATGTGCAAACGACATGTTAACTTGTCGAATTATCGTGATGACATGCTCATAATACCTTAACAAGTTAACATGTGTTTTGTACAATCAAGACTTTTTGACAAATTAACATGTTGTCTGCACAAGTCATCATGATAATTTGAAAAGATAACATGGTATTTGCACAAGTCATCATGATACATTGACAAGTTAAAATGGAGTTTGCACAAGTCATCACGATACCTTGACAAGTTAACATGCTATTTGCACATGTCATCATGAAATTTTGACAAGTTAACATGTCGCTTTCACAAGTCACCATGATACTTGGACAAGTTAGCATATTGTTTGCACATGTTTTCACGATGATTTGACAAGTAAACATCTTGTTTGCACATGTCATCATGAAATTTTGACAAATTAACATGGCATTTGCACAAGTCATCACTATACTTGGACAAGTTAACATGTCGTTTGCACAAGTCATCATGATACTTGGACATGTTAACATGCTGTATGCACATGTCATAAGGATAATTCGACAAGTTAACATGCTGTCTACACAAGTCGTCATGGAATTCTGACATGTTAGCATGGCGTTTGCACAAGTTATCATAATACTTTGACAAGTTAACATTACGTTTTGACATGCTAGCATGATACAAGATAACATGTCATTTGCACAAGTCATCACGATTATTTGACAAGTTCACATGTTGTCTTCACAAGTCATCATGGTAATTTGACATGTTAACATGCTGTTTGCACAAGTTATCATGATACTTTGACAAGTTAACATGCTGTTTTCACATGTCATCACGATAATTCGACAAGTTAACATGTCGTTTGCACAAGTCATCATTATACTTTGACAAGTTAACATGGCGTTTGCACAAGTTATCATGACACTTTCACAAGTTAACATGCTGTTTGCCCATGTCATCACAATAATTCGACAAGTTAACATGTCGTTTGCACAAGTCATCATTACATTTTGACAAGTTACCATGTCATTTGCACAAGTCATCATTATACTTTGACAAGTTAACATGTTGTTTGCACAAGTCATCACGATACTTGGACAAGTTAGGATGTTATCTGCACATGTCATCATAATAATTTGACAAGTTAACATGCTGTTTGTACAAGTCAGCATGTTCCTTTGACAAGACATGATGTTAATTGCACATGTTAACATGCTGAAACGACAAAATAATATCATCGTTTCACAAGATAACAAAAACATTAATTACATAAGACAGTCACGGCGTTCCATAGTACAGACTATTATTTATTTATTCATGGGCACACTAAGTTACTGTTCAAGGTACCTTATATTTACGTACCGTGATTTTTTTATGTCACGTGAATAATTTTATAGTCACGTGAGAACCAGGGAAGCTTACCTGTAGTAAAGTCGTGCACCTGTGTTAAAGGTAGAGACCCGTATTTTCTATCAGCTCCTAGAGGATCGTAATCGTAACGTACAAGGTTCATGTCGCTGTCATACCATTCCTATAATGATCAAAGTTTTTAACGTTGTTTAACGTTAACGTAACGTAACGTTTAAGCGTACCATATGCCTGTTGAGCTGGCTTCTAACTTGCATCACAGGGGTGTACTTTATTTAAATTTGAAACTGAATGCAGATATTCAACGACTGAATTAGGAAACAGATATATCTATTTTGATTGAAATGTTGTAGAATAATGCACGGTTTTGCGTTCAAATGCGCAGGAATATACAAATCATGGAGACTGACATGCCTGAGTGAATAATTACACAGCTAAGTATTTGAACGATCAACCGTGCATTATAATATATCTATTTCCTTTCAAACATGCTAACAAAAAAGAAAATCGATAAAAAATTACTGAACTACATTGAGCCTAAAAGTAGTATTCCTTAGGCCATTTGGTTTATTTACGTTATTTTTAACGTCATATGGCGTGTTAACATTATTTTTTGTGCTGTGCATATTTATATCGTGCACTTGATAGCCCTATCTGTTAGTGTGAAGCTTGTTAAAATGCAATATCACACCGTACATGAATAAAGTTATATTTTAAATGAACAAAAAAGTTTTACTCTTTCCTAGTTACTGTAGCAGAAAAGCGCTGAAAATTGTTTCTTTGAACGGCTTTCAGCGTTATTCATTCTTGCCGATGAATTGCTGTCGATGTTATTATTAAAAAGAGGCGAACAGCTGATGACGTTACTAAAATTTTGATGACACTCAAACTTAAATACCTTATAACTTTAACAGAAAAGCTTTTTTGAAGGTATGGTTTGGAATATTTAATGACGAAATGTTGACGTTTACGAATCGTATGAAAAAAGGATTTATCATGAGAAAATGTACGTTTTTGTGACTTTAAACTAAAAATTACGCATCTCATCGGATATTGTGGTTATTTTCAGTCAAAATTCACGTGAAGTAAAGCTTGCACAGGACCAGAAATTTGTTAGCATGCTCCTTTGGATGTTGACTATGATTCCATAACATTGATTTACTCGAACACAGTTTGGATATGTTAAAAACAGATGAATACTTACCGTACGTCAATTGTATTCCCTGCGCCGACATGTATATACTGGTACAGCTGTCGACGCTGGAACAGCTGTCTGCCCATTTGATTGTACGGTGTGATATATTCATCGATCAAATGAATATTGTATTCTGCGATGAAATGAATGTATTCGAATGATGAAATACATAATTATATTTGGTGATGGAATCTATACGTTGGTGATGACGTCACTTTTTACGTCATGATAAAACACAAGGATTTTATTTACCTTAATGCGGGAAATAGACTGTCCGTAAATAATCTCGGCGGTGAAATGAAAAGATGAGGTAGGTGTCGGTAAAGGTTTAATGTTCTTCGCTCTTGGACAATAAACTCCGGTGGGCGTCTGAAAAAAAAAATGATAAAGTAAATAAATGTCGATGATAATTAGCTTTTTTGCTTGTGTTAAGTGATTTCATAATGCATTCCTACAACAGATTCAAGGCACCCTAGGATAGGATAGTTTGATTTACCTCAAACGCTGTCATATGTTTTCTTGGACTTGTGATGAAGTCAGCAAATTCATACATATGATCAAATGTTCGTCTTTTACCATTGGACATTAAGGTATTGCCGTAAACATGCGCGCGCACAGGTAATTGAGGCGTTAATCGAGCTGTTTGCCAAAGTGGAGCTGAAAATGAAATAGAAATGAATAAATAAATAAATAAATAAATAAATATAAATAAATAAATAAATAAATAAATAAATAAATAAATAAATAAATAAATAAATAAATAAATAAACAAATAAATAAATAAATAAAAAGATAAATAGATAAATAATAAATAAATAAATAATAAATAAATAAATAAATAAAAAAATAAATAAATAAATAAATAAATAAATAAATAAATAAAAATGAATAAATGAACGCATGAATGAATGAATAAAGTAGATAAATAGAAAGATAAATAAATAAACTAATAAATAAATAAATAAATGAATGAATGAATAAATAAATAAATAAATAAATAAATAAATAAATAAATAAATAAATAAATAAATAAATAAATAAATAAATAAATAAATAAATCTAACACTCCTGGTGATTGAGTTACAATACACAATTAGGGACTACAATGTACATGTATATGAGGCTATTACTTTTTTCTTTCTCCGATAATATAGTTTACAAACCTTTTAATTTTTGAAGCAAAAATAATAGCGCATTTTTATTTATTTATTTATTTCCGTTCTTATTAACCTGTCCTTTAATTTTGGAACAAACTCAGCTTACCACTAAAGTACCAGTCAACTACCATGGTAGATTTCGTGCTATCCCAGTACAGACATGACCGCCATAAATTGCACGTGATCCCGCGCACTACTGTTTGGTTTATCCATTTCTGTTGAATTCCGGTCTCATTAAAGTGAAGAACTTCACTGGGCGTTTTCATGACCGCTTTATCCCCGACTGGTGTTCCAAACAGGAACAACTGAGGGGAACGTAACAATGGTTGAACCGTGCATATACCTGGAACGATGAGTGGGTATCTCTTGTTTAGCATAAATCATGAATGCTTACAAAATATACCAGACCATTTTTTATGTAAAGGATCAAACAGAGGCCGTTATGTTTTGGTTTCTAATATTATATATGAAAAGCTTAAAATACGAGTGGCGTTTAAGACAGAATCAAGAATGACACATCTGTTCCAACAAACAGAAATTTATGAAATATAGATATGGAAGCGAAAAACGTAATTTAAACAGTGACTTGTTTAATGTAGAATACAAAAATAAGATCAATCTAGCTTTGAATTTATATATTTTGATAAAACTGTTTTAACAAATGATTATCATTGTTATCATCATCATCATCATCATCATCATCATCATCATCATCATCATCATCATCATCATCACTATTATCATTATTATTACTTTTATTTGAGACAAATGAGTTGAAAAACATATACAAATGCACACGTTATCCCTTACCATTGTCTCGATCGACATGGAAAAACTCGTTAGTATCGAATCTGTAGAGGTCCTCGGTATTCGTACCGGCGTTGTCGACATGAGTGGCCACCTTGTTATTGACCTGGTCGTAATATATATGGTAGCTGGTAGTGTAGTTACGGTTGTTAATGTTAGCCTCAACGTGAACCTCAAACTGGTTTGGCAAGCTTGGTGGCAGTGGTGGATCTGAGAAATGAGAGAGAAAAAAAGATTTTTACAAAAAATTCGGCATATTTCGTCATTTTTCGGAACATATTCCGTCACTTTCCGGCATATTCTGCACCTCTTAAAGCATTGATAAGCGTTGATTACATGGTTTAAGGACAGGAATAAAACAGAAACTGAAGATATTTCTTTGTATAGATAAAAATGATATATGTTTTACATGTCAGGGGAGGTTACTTCAGTTATAACTCTTAAAGTAGTTATAATTTACACACTGAGTTACTTCCCTTTTATACTTATAATCTCCTTTTAGGATTTTTTTTCTTTCTGTCTGTTTTATATTCAGAGACGTATTCATTATTCCTACACACATGATAGATAACGTAGACTGTAAAATGTAAAATTCCAATCAGATGGTTTACCTTGAACAAGCGGACACCTGTGTAGAACCACCGACCTTGGTTAAGCTCTTCGGACTCCATATTTAAGTTATTGAGAGTCGCATTATAGCTACAAGGAGAAGGTTATTTAAAATAAGTGACTGGTAGTACAATCGGCATGGAGGCCAGAGTAACGGCTCAAATTCACATATTACTTCAGAAATGAATATTTTATTTCTTCTTGAGAAGGGACAAATATATTAATAGTCAGTAACGCTGAAGGTGAAATTATTTTGTTGCATTGTAGGCCTTTTAAAACGGAGTATTTGCGTGAACTAGCCCTAGAAATCTTCTAAGGATAAGGTAAGTCTTACCGTTTGGCCCTGGTATTTGGCCAGTGCATACTGTAGTGTCCATTTGTGCGCCTGTCAACGCCAGACAGGCGGACAATATTATTGTACTGAAAAACAAAACGTTACACATTCAACTGTAGTTATCTTTCATTGGCGGATATGATAAAAGTCTGCGTACGTCCTTCTATCTGTCCGCCCATAGCTCGACCTTTCTGACCGGGTGTAACTCAAAAACTATTTGAGATAAGACCTCAAAACTTCATAGGTGGATAGACCACATTTAGAAGGAGTACCATGCAGACAAATGATAACTCTGCCCTTCAAAGTTTTTGAGTTTCATGTATAACTCTTTGTTGTTTCGTTATGTAAATAATATTGAAAAAAAGAAGAAGAAAAGAAGAAGAAGAAGAAGACAAAGTAGGGAAAGAAGAAGAAGGAAAAGGAAAAGATCAAGTAGGAAAAGAAGAAGAAGAAGAAGAAGGAAAGAAGAAGAAGAAGGAAAAGGAGAAGAAGAAGAAAAAGGAGAAGAAGTAGAAGAAAAAGAAGGAGAAAAAAGAGAAACCTAGAAAACTGTAGTTTTGATTAATTTGCTGTATGTTTCTGTTCTTTTATTTTATGCATGTATTTATCTTTTTTTTGTATTAGATCTCAAGTAACACCGACACTGTAACTATATATTATACGATTACATTTTATTTTCTCTGGCGGAGGAAAACCTCCGGTGCCTTACGTAAATTATTCTAGGCACTCGCAGGCATCTTAGAAGAAGTAAAAGATTTCCAAATTATAAGTAATTATAATTTACAGGTTATATGGCCCTGTGTATATGTAAACGGTTGTATCGCAAAGATACAAATAACCGTTTATATAAGACCGACATATAAGTAAATTAAAGAATTGATCAGACAGCACGCAACTTTTTAAAGAGAAAAAAAGTGAGATTTCTTCATAAACCGACAGCCAGCAGCCGTGTTTAAAAATCTACATGTATATGTCCAATGAAAAGCAACGTTACAAACAAGCAGTATTATATATTATTGTATGTTAAAAGCGGACTGTCATTTGTAGTTAGATGTTAAATAATATTGTTCCAGAAAAAAGGTCCTTCTTTAAAATAAATGACAAATCAAATTAAGTAAAATAGTTAAAAATGGGCACTGCGGATAACAATCGCTGTAAATTACAAAAAACACGTGACGCTAACAAGGGAGAATACTAGATTTACTGTGAGCTCGTAGTTTTGACACAGTTGGCTCCCTTCTTACACGTAGCATAATAAGATCGGCAATGATGAAAACCGGGATATTTCGTAAATGCTTATTAAATGCCGCAAAACAGATAAATCACGTGTTCTCGAACAAATGCCAGAGATAGTAACTCGTGAACTCTTTGTATAGAAAACACTAGCATTGCTAGTTCGTTTCTCAGAGACAACGATATGGCTAAGCTTTTGGAATATATATCACTATTGCCGGTGAATTGTTTCCTCTGTCCCCATCCCGGAAAAAGCGGGAAATGTGGAGAATGTTCACCTTCTGGCTTCCCCCGATCTGCCGGTCAATTTTTCGGTTTCAAAAGGTAGCTAAATGATTACGGTACTCTCATGGCAGAGAAATTTATCGAGAAATTTACTATCTGACTCACCCCCAATGCCCACCACAGGGTAGTGCTTTTACGGGGCTTTTACAATTCGGAATGTATAGTCCCTTCCCCGGGATATTTGTTGTCTGTGTGTCACAGTTTCTTATCAAATGTTGGATAACATAATGATCAACCTCCGCCTCCCCATTTCCAAAGGTAAGTTTCGCTTAATCAATCAATTACATACTCGGGAAAAAGTGAATAAAACATATTTTGATTTTTGTCCACTAAATCTCTTCAAAACTAGAAAATAATTGACTTATTTGATACTTTTGACTATATTTAACAATCATTACTGATTAGACTGTGTGTCAATAATTATCATAATATATCAATTTATCATACTTTATGAGATAAAGTATTGTTGTTAAATTAATATCGACATGGACTCGTTTATCTTATCTCATACACTGTATGAAGTCAATTCAAATGTTCATACATGCAGTTATAAAGCTACATGTACCCAAGGGTGATGATCAAAATATTTGTCATTCATTTAAAAGTTCATATCTTAAATAAATGACTGTAATTTATGCAAATTCAAGAAACATCTTTTTTATTTTCTTTTATTTTAATAATTTATTTCAGGAAGCGTTTTATTGACAAGATGTAATGTTACTCTTGGTCAGCTGACGTTGATATGAACGGAAAGAGACGAAGTTTTCCGAACTTTTCCGAACTAGAGCAACACTTACAAGAAAGTCGTATTAATGAGGGGAAAACGTGCGCCATTTCGAATTGTACATACATATCTAAACCCTGTAGATAATTCTTCAACATTTTGTCAAACGTCCGTCTAAAATTATTTAAAACAAATAATAAGCATTTTATACATATAAACTTATCTCGTTCAATGCATGTTATAGATATAATGTATCCATGGTTTTAATTAATTTATTTAAGAAAGTATATTTAAAATGAAACACACATACAAAAAAATCTTTAAACACTTACAATATAAAATCCCTCATTTTCAATTCTTCACTACTCAATGGGCATTGTCCGTCTGTACGCCGTATCGATCATAAATTAAATATACATGTACACGTATATACATATATAGAGATAGATATATGACCGTATCTTCTTTGTTATGCACTATTATCGAACTTTATCAAAAAGGTCGAAATTATTCACGGTAGATAAATTATTTTGGTCGATATCAAACTGAATTTTATGAATATATGATTAAAATATTAAATATTGGCCATAATGGAGGTTTTAAACTTAATCACTTTTAAAAAAATACATGTATCTAATCCGGGCATTTTATGATTATTATAGAGACATTTTGCCTGTTCTAAAAATAGACATGATTCCTTAAATAGTATGTGTTTAAGATACAATATCCAAGGGGTTTGTGGATCGGCCTCTCACCCAAGTTTTTAAAGTTTCGAAGTTTCGAGCACTACTCGGACCAAAACAATAGTTTCTATATGAACACCAGCACTTTTTTTACAACCATGCAGGAAGCGTACTAGAAAGTGTTCAGTATAAGTATAAAGAGTACCTATTTCGCAGTCGATCTCAAACAATTATGTTTAAATGAAAACGATCTGATATGTACTTTCACAGCGGATGCTCACCCGGTTTTCCTTTTAACAATAACGGTTCCGACTTGTTAAAATTTTACAAAATTTTGAAAATGACGATACAATGTCAACTGTTATAAAAACTATATCAGTCATACAGTTTCAAGGAGGCTGTCTCCTTGCACTTTCTATCAATCGACAAAGACTTTGTAGTCAGGAAAAACAAGTTAAAGAAAAAAAAGAACATTTTTTTATTTAGGCACTCACAGTTTAATATGTACATGTACATAGTACGAACAAATATTGCACTTTTTCATTATAATTTCCAGTTTTCTGACACACTTTTAAACAAACAAATAAATAAAAAGTGGCGGAAGAATAATAAACAAATTCTTTTATTTAAACACTCACTGTTACATGTATGTACATAGTACGAACAAAAATTGCACTTTCCCAAAACAAACAGATACAAGAAATTACATGAAAATGATATACACTCTTAAAGCAGCATGCCTCCATGTTCGTTTTAAGTAAATAGAACTTTTGAAAATTAATTAAAAAGGAAAATATTGTGAAATAAACGAAAAAAGTAATCAGAGAAGAGCAACCAACACTTACAGTCCCCCTCAATTACCCAAAAATGAGGCGAAAATATACAAAAATAGCGATTGACTGCGTTAGTCTCGCAAGTAGAAATACGGTGATAAATTCTGAAAAACCGGTCATTAATTGCACAAACATGCAAACTATTTCTTGAATCTTGAATCATCTATATATTGTTTTTGAAATCCTAGTTCATTTTTCTTAAGTTTGTGTTTTTATGTTATTTTTGCTCACATGGAGGCATGCAGCTTTAACAGAAAACAAATAAGAAGTTGTATGCATTACACCAGTAAGCGACCTTATTTTGTTATATTAACTTTTTTTTCATCATTACATGTCTTTTTATAAATTTTTCCTGATGTAAAAAAGAAAGAGAAATGACCTCCCTTTTCCCAATTTGCAAACATTTTGAGAGTCAGTATTTCTAAAATTATAATATAATTGACAAAACATGTAAAAAGCAATAATCTTATCTTTAAGCGTAAATTTTATAAGAAAAGACCTGCAGGAGGGAAAAAATCTATGTGGGGAAAAGATATTTCAAAACTGAAGTGTATAAAGCTATAAAATGTACGGGAAGAAAATCGAAGAAACGGTATAATCCTATTTTCATACAATTATAGTCATTAAGCAAAAAGAACCTTTAAGAAAGAATGTCATTTTTAAAAACTGAAGTGTATAAAGCTGTAAAATGTACGGGAAGAAAATCGAAGAAACGGTATAATCCTATTTTCATACAATTATAGTCATTAAGCAAAAAGAACCTTTAAGAAAGAATGTCATTTTTAAAAACTGAAGTGTATAAAGCTGTAAAATGTACGGGAAGAAAATCGAAGAAACGGTATAATCCTATTTTCATACAATTATAGTCATTAAGCAAAAAGAACCTTTAAGAAAGAATGTCATTGTTATTTAACGCATATGTATAAATAAGTTTATTAGAATAAAACATTTCCTGATAAAATACATGTATGCATTACAAAAGAACCCCTGCAGAGCCTCCCGGCTTGGAAGATTTTGGTTGTTCCTCTAAGGTGCCACACCAGAAGGCAGAATAAATTGTAAAATCTAAACTTTGGAGAGAAATAATATACATACTGCTCTTTTAAAGAGTCTAGCGTCATATAGAGGGTCATTGAACTGCAAGTTCCATAACAGCGACTTGAACGATGAATCTGCACAGAGGCATACTCAGTTTCTTCAAAATTAGACAACACCATTCTTTCAAATTCGCTTTCTTTGGTATGCAGACAAACAGTTTTGTTTTTGACCACATATATATAATAGTAATCACAGCTTCGTACCCTTTTATCACCGGCTAAACATTTAAAATGCAACGCACTTTTCTAAGTTACGTTACTTAAACATGTAAAAATCAAAACTTCATTCATTTCTTTATGACGAAACACACTAACGGCATTGTAAATGACGTCTCACAATGACGTTGTAACGTTGTTAAGATGATTATGCGTCACTACTTGTAATATCCTCCGGTGCGAAACTTTTTGGTCCAAAAGCCCCGCCTTGTTTTCTATAGTAGAAGTATGTTGCGGCCACGCCTACGATGAAGAAAACTACTAACAAAGCCACGCCCATTCCCGCCATTACTCCTGTAATAAAAAAAAGATGATGAAGACCTTTTTATTCATAAAAAAATTTTCATTTTCAAAATACACTGCGAAGTATAAATGATAATTCATATAAATTAAACAAAATCCAATTATTATGTGAGAGCTTTCCGATATTTCAACGAACTCAAAGCTCTTTAAATTGATGTTAAGTCATTATTTACTAAAACACACACATGTTCTTTATAACATCAGATCTTTGTTTGAAATGATTTAAGAAATCAAGCATAAAACAGTTAAAAGAAAACAGATTATTCACGCATTTCTGAAAGGTAACTATATTTAAAAAGCATAGAGACCGGAATTGAAGCCTTCGAGAAAAAAAGAACAAACGGAAGAAAAGAAGAAAAATCAAAAAGAAAAAAGAAGAAGAACCCCACGCACCAAAACAAACAAAACAAAACAATCCCAAACGAAAACGAAAACATGCTATATGTCGAACAGATTGATAAATTTGCAGGTTTATCCAAGTCATTGTTTAATTAAAATTCAACCTTAAAATTCAAGTTCATCTTCATTTCCCTGAACATATTTCGATCTTCTGTGCTACTTTAAACTTGTAATAATTGATTGCAAACTATCCACTCAAAAAGTAGATTTTAATGAATTTACCCATCTCTGTCTGGATTACTTAGTACGTGTTTAAGTCATGGGACCAAATGAATGTGACTAAAATGCTTACCACCTGAAACACCGGTTGTTGTGGTGCTGCCCTGTTTTGTTTGCTTATAGTATGCATCTTTCACAATCCGGCCAGGAGTCAGTGAATATTTTTTGGCTACCATGTTAGCCTATTAAAATAAGGAAACATTTAAAATGTGTAGCAAAGTTGTAAAACTGAATAAAGATAACTGACAGTTTTTTGCTTCAAATTAGTGTCTATGAAAAATACAATGAATACCGAATGTTACGCGACTACAATACATGTACGTAATAATTTCCGCCCCAAAGCGATTCAAAATTTGACAAATTATTGACCTATCTACAAAAAAACGATAATGTTGTCATACAAATTCTTCATAAATAGCTCTGCAAGAATAATTAAACGAAAGCACGTTGTATAATCATTTTCTAAAATAAAACAAACCGTTGCTGAAGGAAGCTGCAAGCTAACAATAAGTTGACCGCTATTTATAGCACCGGAAATGGCCTTGGCAACCACAGGGAGGCTGTTCTCCTGTTTGGGATTACTGACGTCACCTGAAAAAAAGGTATATTCACAAACCTTCATATACAAGGGTTAAGAACATAAAATAAATATTGCAATGAAGGTCTGTAATTATTAGCGGTAAATAAATTTCGAATAGTGATATTAAATGTTTTTCACGTATAGGCCCTAAAGAAATGGTATGCTCCTTTAACAGCAAATTTGAACATTCATTAAAGACCAATTATATTATAAACATGCGTGTTTATCTTTATTACTTAAAAGTTTTTTATTTTATGATATACTCTAAAAGTATTCAAAAAGGGTACTAATTGGCCAATGACCTGAACTCTTTTTTATCGTCGCTTTTGGCAATTAGTTAAGTTATAGTTTTTTTCGTTTTTGTATTAAAGAGAAGATACTATTTTGATCGCATTTTTGTTATACTTGACAAATATAATTAACATTCATAAAAAGACACACATCTTACATGCTCAAATGTAAGCATTATTCAGACATTATAAAACTCAGTTTTCCTTTTACTAAACAGGATTTTTTTTTCGTTTTCAAGGCATAATGTGCATATATACATGTATATCTTGTAAACATAAATAAACAGATCAGTTACCAATTTGAGGGGCTTTGTCCAATAGAGTAAATTGCACGATAATATCATTGTTGTCGGCAAAATCAATCTGTAATATATATATATATATAACAAGAAATTAATCATATTTTAATTCATTGTGCAAAATGCCATCCCCTCTTCCTTAAAAAAAATATGATCCGAAATTTGACGAATAGTCACGAGCATTCTGTTAGAAGAACGTACTCTTCTTTCGGAGGAAATGAATGTTCTTAACATAGAAGTATGCTACTGTAAAGTTCCCCATTATATCAGAGACATATATAATGTTATCTCCATTCTCACAAACACTTGGGGTGTGGAGCTGAAAACGCATTTTAATTCCCGCGCTTTGAATATGGGAACCAACATATTACCGGATGACACCGACTATAGACAGACTGGTTTTCACTTTCAAAGCGCGGCACATTTGAATACGGCAAAGCAGGGAGCAAATGTTGAATTTGTCGAAAGATTTTGTAAATGGAGTAAAACGATGATAATGCTAATGTTTATTTCGCCTGTTGCGTTGTTTACATAGATGTCGTTGTTTAAAACTGATAATCATCGTGGAGATTATATTTTCTGTGTCGATGGACTTAAGCATTATATGAAAATATTGGAATTGGAATAAGATACATAAGGATTCTGACGGTAGGTGTGCGAATGTTTTAATCTTGTATATAAAAATAGACGTTGAAATATGGATTTCAAAAACGGTTTAGATTAAGTTTTTTTCCATATATATGATAAGTTCATGCGCTAGGATTGACAAATCTACATTTAATTTGGAACTTAAATGCGTTTTGAGCTCAACGCACCAAGTGTTTGTGCCAACTCTATGCTTTCAGAAGCAATTTACTTTTTTTTCAAGAAAACAAAAAATGTATATCTTAGACTTACCTTAATATTGTAAATGCGGAGAGATGAGAGCTGTAATTTGTTGACAGAACCAGCGGCAATAATTGCTTTGAGTACGCCGTACCGGAATATCTCCATGTCACCACTCACCAACTTCCTGAAGTTTCCTGAAAAATTCACTTCCGGTTAATAGTCAACTTCCGGTAACGGCTAAAGATATTTACATATTATATAATCATGGAACGTCGCCATAATTATTTCGTCGCTATCCGTTACAGTTAAATTAATTAAGTGTTTTTTTTAATAATTTTTTTGAGTGATACAAATTGCCTGTTTAAACTTAAGATAGTCAGTAACAATTTGGATTATTTCCAGGATACACAGCGTAGAGCCATATGCTTGTTATACAATGAATATTTGTTGAAATTTACCATTATGTTGATATCTCTAGAGGGAATCAATTGAATATACAAAATGCACGTGCGTAATTGACGCAAAGTGTAACAGGAAGTGACGTCATACAAACCTGGTAATTTGAAAGAGAAATCTTTCCGCTCAGTGTAGTTGAAACAGTTACTGATATCGTACGACCAGATTGAAGGACGTCTTTCGTCATAATCGTAAATATTATATATATAGTGCTGACCCTGAAAGAAAAATTGTCGGTGTTTTCCGTTAAAATCCGAGCATGAGATTTGTGCCAATTGGTAATTTTCGGACATTTCCGTACAATAATACGGTAGAGTTAATTGAATGAATTAAATATGCCTGAAACACGGAATATTTTTACTTTCATTATGTTTTGCTGACTTTGTGAGAAACACTCTCTCATTCCGGCCAAAATCATTTTAAAGAAAACGTGCTATCATAGGCTAAAAAAATATCAAAAGTTTGAATATAAAACCAGATTTTTATCTTTTCTTTAAACGAAAAAAATGTAATAATTTTTGTGGCTAAATGTGCCTGTAAACATTTTGAGACGAAAGACAATGTTGTAAACAATTTTCACTTACTAAGCCTGCGTCCAACACCATTCTAACTGGAATTCCAAACGACGGTTTCTGTAACAACATCTCTGTATAGTTAGGCTGAAATACAAAGATTAATATAATAATCAATATTAAAATCAATACAAAATTAAAAAACAAAACAAACAAAAACAACAAAAAATCAATAAAATACCTATACAAAATAAATTTGAAATCAATTTAATATGAAACTAATACAAAAATCAATTCAATATGAAACCAATAATCAATATGAAATGATGAAAGAAACACAAAATGAATATGAGGTCATCACGAAAATCAGTACAAAAAATCAATATCAAATCAATAAAATATTAATACAAGGATTTATATGAATTCAATACAAAAATCAATACAAAAATACATATAAAATCAATAAAAAATAATAGGAAATCAATACAGAAAATACATATAAAATCAATAAAAACAATAGGAAATCAATACAAAAAAAACATAAAAAATCAATAAAAACAATAGGAAATCAATACAAAAAATACATATAAAATCAATAAAAACAATAGGGAATCAATACAAAAAATACATATAAAATCAATAAAAACAATAAAAAATCAATACAAAAAATACATATACATATAAAATCAATAAAAACAATAGGAAATCAATGCAATAAATACATATATAAAATCAATAAACACAATAGGAAATCAATACAAAAATACATATAGAATCAATAAAAACAATAGGAAATCAATACAAAAAATACATATAAAATCAATAAAGACAATAGGAAATCAATACAAAAATACATATAAATTCAATAAAAACAATAGGAAATCAATACAAAATAATATATAAAATCAATAAAAACAATAGGAAATCAATACAAAAAATACATATAAAATCAATAAAAACAGTAGGAAATCGATACAAAATACATATAAAATCAATAAAAACAATAGGAAATCAATACAAAAATTTATAAAAAAGATCATTATAAAATCAATACAAAAATCAATACAAAAATCAATACAAAAATCAATACACAAATCAATATAAAATATGCTGGAACCACAAGTGATAAAAGTAAGAAGCTAAACTAGACTTAAGTCTGTTGTACTCTTGGTAGCTTATTTATTCTTTATCTTGTTAAAATTTGAAATCCTTTGAAAACATGAATATATTGTTCCAAATTTAAGATTTGGCACACACTGTTCACATATCGATGTATGTTAAGTGTAGGTGATTTCAGAAACTTGAAGATATTTCACGCCCCCATCCAGCACCCGTTTAACAACGTACTTTTCGAAACTACTTAAGACGCCCCAAATTAATCTCCACGCAGTGATCTCCCCTTAATTCTTCGGCTTAGATCTATGCACCAAGGTCCCGATATATCAGAATTTCTGATATACTATATTTTTTCAAAAAATGTTTTATCTACTGCTTTTATCTATCAGATAAGTTTTCTCACATTTATTTAACAATGTTTATGAATAAATAAATAAATAAATACAATGTTATATGAATATTTAGAAATAATTTTAAAATTATGCGATTATTTTCTACCGAGACGATATTTTGATATATTTTATGTTTTTTAGCTTTTGAATTTATTTTCCGTTATTTTGTATACTTTTGATAATTTTTGATAAAATAAACGAACAGGTAAAAATAAAACAGAAAGAGAAAAATGACGTTAGATTTTCTAGGTAACGGTCGATGTTTATTTTTGATTTTCGACGTTACGTCATGTGACTTTTATCATCATGTGACGTCTGTGAAGGCAGTGATTATAAGTGAGACTAAAAAAGGATTGGAGCAACACACTAAATACCGTATTCCGGTATATACCGGACAAAACGCTTAAATGATAAAATGCTAAAATCTTGCCTTGTCACCCAACGGAATGAATTTAAAACGTCTAATTCATCTTTTCACACCGATTTATGTATAATAATGAATGAAAAATGTAAAAATAGGCGAAAAAAACGATATTTGTCTTTTTAGTGATCATGATTTCTGCACGGGTTTATATGTAATATAAATCCGTGATTTCTGCAAGCGTCTACAGGTTCTGCTCAAATCCTGTATTGAGTTTAATCCGTGATTATAATCTGTAAAGGTAGGTAATCACTGTGAGGAGTTTTAAGTCGTCCCTAGAACCAGATGACGCTTCCTAAACTTACGGTAGCTACCTTCCGAACACCAAAACGATCGGCTAAACAACTTACCGTAGCAAAATACCACTCCCATGTCGAGTTTGAAGAGCCAGGTACCGGCCAATCATTTCTTTGGCTGATCCATACGTCACTGTTTATACCCCGTACAACTCTCTAAAAATAAGTCAATTTTTCTGTACAATAACATATTTTTAAAAAAGTGTCAGTCTATAATTTGAAAAACATAATTTGAATCTTTATAAACCTACGCACTTATCATTTCATGTTTTTTTTTCAGGCAAAAGTTTTGTAAAAATGTTTCGTTAAATTTGTAGGGCTGTATTTTGAAAAAGATGGCAAGAAAAAAGACATATCTAATTTTACAACATTCCACCATTTTGTCACTAGTGTCAAAGATTAACCAAAATACTTTAAGAAGTTTTAGTGGAAATTATTGTGTCGAAAAAAAGAACCCCTGACTTTAATGTTAGTGTAATAAGTGGTTAAGTCAGTTTGATACCAATCGTTAATTTTCGAAAGTTTTCGTTAGATAAGTAACATACTGTTCCTACGAGACATTGTTTATATTTAATCATTCGAAGATAATAATGCTTTGAAGCATGTTATATAGTTAAATTGTTGTTGTTCTTGCTTGTATCATTACTCCTTTATCTTAAACATATTATCACTCATTTGTTCTCCAGTCGGCAGGACGGCAATAAAATATTCATTAAAAATCACGCCCTCCTGGTAAAAGAGGCAGGACTATTAATCAAATTTGCATAACTGCATGCCCTCCTTTCAGGAAAAATAGACAAGTCACGCCCTCTTACTAAAAATTAAATGTAATTTGCATAATTGCATGTTCACCCTGCAAGGAAATGGAAATGGAGTCACGCCCACTTGAGGTGGAACTATAAATTAGACTTGCATAATTGCATGCTCACCCTTCCTTCGTACATGTATGAGGCCTTGTCAAAATAGAAAAACTCCTTCGAAGTTCGAATTCTCACATGTGAAGGGTCATTTGCGTTTTTTCTGACGTCAAATCCGGTGCCGCTGATAGGTGTCGCTGTACAGTTGCCACGCAATTGGTCAATGACGTAGGCCACGCCTTGAAAATAAAAATTATAACATATGAATCAATTATCAAAGGATATTCAATTAGCATTAGGTAGCTGAAATCAATAAATATATTTTTCAAAAATATCTTTGTCCGTGGAAATAAAACATATATATGATTTTTGTTAGAAAATAAAAAATGTTTGAAGTAATTTGAAACAATAAAACTAAAGATAGACTGGAAATCGTGTATTGTTTTTTTTCAGCGGTTGAGATTAAAAAAAAAAAACCGCCTCGCTTTCAAAACTGTGAAAGCTCGCCGATGATTGGCTGAACCGGTGACAACAAATTGGTAGTCATCAGATCCTTATGAGAAGAAAGCGTTATTTAGGAGCTGATTTTAATCAGATTGCCTAACGCGTTTGAAATTATGCAGTGCTATAACTATTTAGTCATCTTGATTCACTACTTTCTTTTTAGAAAGCTTATGATGATTAAATTTAAATGACACAATATAAATGGTTATACTTATGCAAGCAAACGGAAAGTCTGTATGTAACTTGGGTGCGTTTAACATAAGGGTATGTGGGTGCATTGGTGGGGTACGCTAATTCTAATACGTCGTATACGTGGAGAAGGTGCGATTTATAAGTTGGTGAAAGGTTTATGCCACTTTACCTGTACTAAAATCATGAACTTGCGTCAGGGGTAGGGAACCAAATTTCTTTTCGGATCCAATTGGGTCGTAGTCGTATCGAACAAGGTTAAGATCGAAGTCGAAATATTCCTAAATTTAACCGGAAATAGATAAGTTCCACCCGGAAATAGTAATGATCAAACCGGATATAAAATATCACACAAGAAGTTCATTTAATTCGATCGATTGAAAATACGAGTATAAACATAACGTAAATACGTTCAATAAATGAGAAATATCGTTTGGTTATGAAGTTTATCTTTAATAAAATGACGTCATATCTTGAGAAAAAAGGTGATTCTAGCCAATCAAACAAGCCGTTGTACTTTTGATGCAAACTTATTACATTTTTCCAAAGTAAAAAATGTATTTTTAGTAATCAAGTGTCGTTTTTTACCGTAAAAGAATATTATACATGTATATGATGTTAAATATAGATGCAAAGAAATTCAAGTTACCTTTATTCTCGAAATAGACTGGCCGTATATGATTTCGGATGTAAAATGGAAGGCAGACGATGGGACAGGCAATGCTTTGGTATTCTTTGCACGGGGACAATACACACCGGTTGGTGTCTAAAAAAAACGATAAAAGAAAATAATCGTGAAATTATTTTTCAACATATTGGAAGAAAATATCTTAAATAAATAATCAAACATATGAACTGATTGTTACGGCAGACCGGTGGAGACATTTCAACAACATAAATTCCCGATTTCATATTCATGAAATCACAATTTTAACTTCGTGAATTCACGTTTTCAACTTACGTAATTGAAGAAATCATGATTTCAGCTTCAATAATTCACAATGTGAGCTTTACTCCTTCACAAGTTCATGAATTCACGATTTCAACTTCACGAATTCACAATTTGAGCTTTACGAATTCACAATTTCAGCTTTACGACTTTATAATTGCACCTTCATTCATGAATTGACGATTGCAAATTGGCAAATGATTTGTAAAAGAGAGTGAAAGTTGTGCTTCCCTGTCAACAGTGGAATGGTACGTTTAAATCCCTTTCGAAACAGGGTCATGCTTCCTTGTGCGACACTAATTCAAGCTTTATTATGGAAACGGACTCGACAAACATATATAGTATGTATGAAGCATATTATCTAATTCTATATACTTAATACGAGCTAGCCCTGTAAATAGAAAATTCAAATCGTATCAAATGCAATTTTATGAGTCGAATTCGTACCTGTAGATCGTACAGATGAACACCTTGTGGTTGTAGGTCAAGATAAGAAAATTCGTACATGTGGTCGAATTTGCGCTTTTGTCCATTTTTCATAACGGCATTCCCAAAAACATGAGCTCGAACCGGAATTTGATCCGACAACTTTGCATTCATCCAGCCAGGAACTGAAAATATCATCTGTTCGTTAATCATCGTTAATCATCGGCACATTCCGTATTTTATTTATACCAGTATAGAGCATAGAAGTCTGCACATACGTTCCCTGATGGTAGCTCAGTTGGTTTGTTTTGAATTTGAATTCCCTAAAACTTTGAATGGACTGTTCCGAATTAAAAATAGGGAAAGTCCGTTTAAAAAAATGAAAAAAAAAAAAAAAAAAAAAATTGTTAAGTCTCAATCAGTGTTAAACTAGTACAATCACTGTTCATTTCCGCTGGGGATTAAAAGAAGACGGTTTTTGTTTTATTTTTGAAATTTGTTTATACCCCAATACCCCCCAAAAACCCAAACAAACATGAAGACTGTTTGAGGGAGTATATTCAAAAGAGATAATGATAGATTCAAGCTCTTTTATACGTGCATGAATACTAGACTGTGTTATAATAATTATTAGCACATGGAAACGTTCTTGAAACCGTTCCTTGAACCAATAAGTGTACTGGGCAATGAGTGTAAAGTTTCTTTATCCTGGAAGCAATGGTTTGCCTCTGACGGGGTTTAAACCCAGCCAGCCTTAAATCACTAGTTCGATGTGTTAACCACTCGGCCACGCCGCAATATATATTTGTTTTCATGAAAAATCCGCTCCTAAATAATATACGTATATCATGTACTTTTGCAAAACAGTTGGGTTCGAAGCCTGTGTTTAATAAAGCTATTTTTGTCGATCGGAGCAAGTCTTTGAATCATCTCAGTCTAAATCTTCGCCATCATTAAACCCAATAATTCCATGTTGGGAGCTGAATACTGTTTACGCCGGTGCTTTGGGGGTAGGGGGTGGGAATTTTGTTGTAATCTATTTAATTTATTTTCATTGCCTTACAGTGCCCCCCGCCCTTTTTCATAATTTTGAACGTCAATATGCAAATGGTATACATTACCGCTAAAATACCAATCGACTGCCATTGTGGAATTCCTCTTAGCGTTATAATAGCATGACCGCCACATATTGCATTTGATACCTCGCACCACCGTTTGATTGATCCATTTTTCACGTACACCGGTCATGTTGAAACGTAGGAACTGATTTGGAGTCCTTATCGTGGATACCCCAGCGTTTGTCATGGCAAAGAGGAAAGCCCGTCTGGCCGAGTTGATAGGGGTCACTGTACAAATACCTTTAAACACCAAATCAAACAGTTTATCAAAAATAATAAAAATAAAATAAATAAATAAAAAAGATAAGAAAACAAAAACAACAACAACAACATCAACAAAACACTGAACAAAAAAATAAGAAAAAAACCCCCCAAAAGCCACAACAATAACAACAGCAAAAACAACAACAAAAACAATAGACAAAACAAAAAAACAAACAAAATAAAACAAACAAAAAAATAAGTAAATACCCCCCGCCCCCCCCCCCCCAAAAAAAAATAAACACAGAAAAAAAACCCCAACAAAACAACAACAAAAAAAACCCCAAAAACAAAACAACAAAAATATACAAAATAACAACAAGAACAACAACAACAACAATAGACAAAACAAAAACTAGCGTACCAGTGTCGCGATTAACGTAGTAGTATTCATTGGTGTCGAATCTGTACAGCTGCTCAAACCTGTTACCCGCGTTCGTTGTATGTGTAACAACTTGGTTCATTGTCTTGTTGTACCACACATGGAAGTCTTCCGTGTAGTTCCGGTTGAAAATGTTAACCTCTACATGAACCTCGAACGCGTCCGGAAGTGACGGGGGTCCGGGTGGGTCTGAAAAATAACGTTAAGAGTATAGAAAAACAATGCATTGTCTCTTCTGTACGTACTTTAATTACTGCAAACTCCTCTCGATGATTACCTCCCTTTTGCAGATTGTAATCACTGCCTTGCAGATGTCACATCATGATGAAAGTAACATGACGTAACGTCGAAATTCAAATGTAAATACCGACCGTAAAATAGGAAAATCTAACGTCATTTTCACTTTCTGTTTTATTTTTAACTTTTCGTACCTACGTTCGTTATAGTTTATCAAAAAAGTATCAAAAGTGTGCAAAGTAATGAAAAATGAACTCAAAAGCTAAAAAATATATAAAATATCAAAATATTGATAAAATGTTTGTGATGGCAGAGATTTCTGTACTGATAAGGGAGATCATTGCGTGAGATATTTAAATTACCGATTATGTTGTCTCCCCTGTACAAACTTAAATAACCGATTATATTGTCTCCTCTGTACATATCTAAATTATCAATTGTGTTGTCTACGCTGTCAACACTTAAATAAACGATTGTGTTGTCTCCCCTGTAAGTACTAAAATTATCGATTGTGTTGTCTACCCTGTTAGAACTTAAATTACCAACTATATTGTCAACCCATGCTAGTGATAAAATAACCAATTGTGTTGTCTCCCCTGTTTGTACTTAAATAAAAAATTGTGTTGTTTTTCCTGTTAATACTTAAATAACCGATTGTGTTGTCTCCCCTGTTAGTACTTAAAAACAGATTGTGTTGTTTTTCCTGTAAATACTTAAATAACCGATTGTGTTGTCTCCCCTGTTAGTACTTAAAAACATATTGTGTTGTCTCCCATATTAATACTTAATTAACCGATTGTGTTGTCCCCTGTTAATACTTAAATAACCTATTGTGTTGTCTCCCTGTTAATACTTAAGTAACCGATTGTGTTGTCTCCCCTGTTAATACAAAAAAACCCGATTGTGTTGTCTCCCCTATTAATATCTAAATAACCTATTGTGTTGTCTCCCCTTTTAATACTTAAATAACCGATTGTTCTGACTCCCCTATTAATACTTGTATCATAGTTTGGAGACCTTTCTGTTGAAAATGTGTCAGGGTTAAATCGTATACATATACATTCACAGTGCATTAACTGGAGTGCGGGTATTAGTTACCCGCACTCCAGAGCACGCCCATTGATTGGATCATTTTTGCTGGGGTTTACATATTTCGATGGCAGAGAAAGGGAAAGCGACAGAAATATCATATTCAGATGTTCGTTCATTGGTTCATTTTTGCCGGGGTTTCATATTGTGACAACAGGGAACGTGTTTTTATGTTTGACTATGATACAAAAGAGAAAGAACACCAAAACACTCGGTAATCTGATTAATACTCGGGGGCTACGCCGCCTCGTACAAATCAGATAACCTCGTGTTTCGGTGCTCTTTCTACATGTTCTATTACTTAAATAACAGATTGTGTTATCTCCCCTGTAAGTACTTAAATATCCGATTGCGTTGTCTCCCCGGTAAATACTTAAATTACCGATTGTGTTGTCTCCCTTGTAAGTACTTAAATATTAACAAGAGGTAAACAACAACAACAACACTAGTAAAAAAACCCACTAAAATCAAAATAGACTGTATCTGTATACAGGTATTTGCGAAAGATCGATAAAGTCACACTTTATAGTGTTCATTCTTTCAGATTCAGTTCTGGGCTTTAAAAATTAATACGGTCTAAATTATTAAAATAATCTATAGATTTAAACATTTGCATGTTTTTTTTCTATCTTTATTTATAAAAAATCATGTATTTGAAGTTTTATATTTGCTATGGTAAAATGGCAGTTGCCATGGGATAAAGCTATTTTGCCATGAGATAAAGCTATTTTGCCATGGGATATATCTATTCTGCCATGGTATATAGCCAATTCATTGTTCACATGGCAATGTGTCATTTTACAGATTCATAGTAAGGCAGATTCTCCTTATGCGTGTTAAAACTCATTGACGATATTTCTTTATATTACTACCCTTTTTTGAAATATTTTGTAGATTATTCTAAACATAAACACAGTTCTGCAAGCGTGCTGCTTAACTTTGTTATTTTGTACCCATAATTGGTTTTAATCAAGCCCTTTTCAAAATATGACTGTGGACATTAATTCTGTTCGTGAAATTCATTACAAAACATTGCAAGTTACTAAAACTCTATAATCACCATTTGCGCCAGGGGTTTCTCCCGTACAGACGGACGTGTCCATCTGTCCATGTATATGCCCAAAACATAGTGCCACAACAAATACCCTGAAAATAAAGACAATTTTTCCAGAGATATGGTAATATAAATTTCATTGAAACTTATGTGTTAAATTGAATTGTGCTTGGCACCTACAGCCCTTTTCAGGGCTACATCTCCTTTTAAATATTATCTCTGGTTTCATATATGTTTTAAATTCTCATTAGGCACCGTATTGGGCACCTACTTTTGGCTCAAAATTCCTATGTTTGGCTTGTACCCCGCGGACATTGCATGGTGGCAAGTTATCACCACTTTGTGTTTCAAAATTAAGCCTTTAAGGGAATGACTGGTGATAAATCCGGGGTCCGTGTTCGACAGCAAAATCTGCATATAGTGCATTAATTGGCGGACGGATCTACACAAACCACATACAAACAGACAGAAAAGGTAGGAGAAATATATCACAAAGTAAAGAAGTTGGGCCTAAGATGAGGCGTGTACAGTAAAGTAACAAAACTGACTATATGCATAAAAGAAGTTGTGCCAAGCAAGAATATAGCTACATTGTACAGAAAAGTGTATACTAAATGCTGGGAAAATGCGAAAACGTCAATTGGATGACGCTTCCAACGAAAATGTTTCAGAACTTGTTAAAATTTGTCTTTGATGTGATTAAAGTAACTTTTGAAATCCAAAAATGGGTTTATTTTAGAATGAGAGCCGTGCTAGTTTTTAGACGACCACTTTACATGTATATAGTTACTATTGATATATGATCGTATCGTTCAAGAAAATCAAAGAATAACCGTTAATATGAGATATAAACAAACATGAGTGAAAGATACGGCGGAGAGTATAAGGAAAGAAACTTATTGTGAAAACATTTGGGAAGAAATAAGAAATTACTTACAAATATTTGTCCGCCATCTTAAAACGTTAAACCTTTGCGAGGAACGCCTTACATAAAGTTATACGTACTAATTCTTTTTAATCATCAAAATTAAGGCCAAATAGAAACTTTTATGGGTTGCTAGTCATAATTAAAAAGGTTGTATCATATACCCGTGCCGATTTCACGACCCCGTAAAAGCGCTATTGAACGTCATGCATAAATTTTGACGTGACGTCATTTGCGTTATATAAACATAGTGTTAAATGTTACACGAACAAAAAAATGATTATTTTAACTGTAAAAAGTTCTAATGATGGTAATGTGAAAAACAAAATATTGTATTCTTGTAGATGCAATATTTAATATTTTGAATTCATTCAGTAAAATAATATACTTGCATAATATAATTTTTACACAACTCGTTCAATAAATTCAGTATTGAATCAACACTCATTTAATATCCTCTATTTATTTACACTTTTAAACCAAATTAAACAGTGTCGGTTTGCTCTATCTTATTGTTTTCTCTAAATTAGTATGAAATTTCAATAACTTTAATGAACGTTGGTGATTAAAGTATTAAATAACGGTTTAACAGATAAATACAAGTCAGGACGTCGATTTAAAGATTTATTTTACCGGCCTTAGATAATTTTAATAATTATCTTATATATGTGTACATCATCCAAATTATCACAATCTTTATCTATCACAGATCTTGTCTGCGTGATTTTGAGTGCAATAACCCTAGGGTATGATAACTTTAAAGATATACAATGCTCAAACTTAATATTATAAAATATTGATAATTGCTACACAGCCTCTTTGTAAATATAAAATAAGCATATTTTGACTTCACATGAAGTAGATATGCTAAGTTTATTTTTTTACAAAATATAGGTGATCAAACAATGAAAATAGGGTATCATTGAGAAATAACTGACAGTTTCTTTTAAGAAAGGACCAACTGTTTTTGACTCCCTATTGGAAACGCAGCTTCCTATAAATAGTTTATTCATTCGTTATTGAAATGAGACATATCACGTAAAAATTCAAATTCATAGTTTAAATTTATAGATTTCATAAAATTTCTCTGATTAAAATATTTGACTCAAGGATGAGCATAGTATATCTTTAAGTACGTTGCTATCTTAATATTTAAGGTAGTTGTTCACCCAGTTTTATCAATATTTAAGTAAATCGTAATATAAAGTTATTAAGGTATAGCAGATGTAGTTCGTGAAAGTTCGACAATCTTCGTGTATTTTCGATTCTTATTTGTTGTTCTGTGTTATTAGCGATATTCTTCAGCACCAACCTCTCAACTTTCGATTTCCGAAGATATTCTTGAAGTTCATTTATATTATACTATCATATTTCATACACGTTTAGATAATTCGCCAACTTGTAACCTTCCGATCAGCTGGTATAAAGCTGCATGTCTCGAGATGAGCCGAAATGTTTCAAGAAAATCAAACTTGACAACAATATAATTAGAATTTAAGAAAAGCAGATTAAATATTCAAGTACATGTAATAAGTGAAATGTTATGTGCGGTTTAAGACTGATTCTACATAATTTAATTTCATATTGCTACAAAGGTGTCCCTTGCATATTTTGACCAGACAACTCCGTCTTGTAATTTGCGTAGCTTGTTAGTGCCGTTTGCAATATGTAAATTACTTTCATTGTTTATGTCACATTTTTTTCTTTAGAATACATTTTCAAAATGTTCATGAAAATTAGTTTGAATCTGGAGGCATGCTGCCTTAAATTCGAAATTCGACACGCTTCTTCCAATACAATGACTACAGCAGCGTTTATCTTTTATTTGGCTTTACGTCGCACCAACACAGTATAGGTAATATGGCAACTTGCCAGCTTTTCTGTGCATGATTTCAAGCACGAACGGGCACCTGAGGAGAACCTACCGACGCTGGATAGCTTTCCACAGCGGTTCAAACCAACTTGTTATTTCGCCGCCACAAGATATTTTTTTCATGGGAACGAGATCATAATATCATGGGAACGAGATAATGATATTGTGGGAACGAGATTTTACATTGTTTGTATGGGCTCTTAGCGCAAGGTCTCGAGGTAAATAAAAAATGCAAATGAGCCGCGTCATGACAAAACCAACATAGTGGGTTTGCGACCAGCATGGATCTAGACAAGCCTGCGCGTCCGCGCAGTCTGATCAGGATCCATGCTGTTCGCTATCAGTTTCACTACTTGTAATAGGGTTTGTAAGCGAACAGCATGGATCCTGATCAGACTGCGCGGATGCGTAGGCTGGTCTGGATCCATGCTGGTCGCAAACCCATTATGTTGGTTTTATCACATTGCGGCTCAAATGTCAATTCTGAGAATACCCGTTATAATATCGATGTCTTGTCTAAAATTCTTAAGTGCCTAAGCGAGAATGTTTTCACTGAATAATTTAATGAGAAGACAACATAAGTTCAAACGTATCTGATTAAAGAATGCCATTTAACATGTTTCTTCACAAAGGGGAATTTCAAACAATGAGCAATATGTTAGTAGCATTTATAAGTGAAAAGTACAGCCGTGTCACAAAAAAATCAAAAAAAAAAATCTGATACTAAACAATTATAGAATATTAAATACAGTCATTAGTTTAGTGTCAGCAGTTGGTAAAATATTTCAATCTAGTTATTTAGTGGGCACAATAATACAGTGTCCTGCAAATTATTATATAAAAAAACAACTTTAGATATTTTAGATTTTAGATTTATTTATTAGATTTATTTTTTGAATTATCTAACCAAATATCAAGTATTCCACAAATACAAAAAAACAAAACAAAAAAACAAAACAAAAAAAACCCCCAAAAACAACAAAAAAAAACAAACAAAAAAAACAACAAAAAAACAAAAAACAAACAACAAAAAAAATTAAACAATCAAACTGAATGACTTCAAACACACTACAGCATAACAGTGATCATCCTTATAAATAGGTAAATACTTGTTCTCGTAGGCCAACTAAATCTTTACATCCTGAAAAACATATCTGGTCCTAAAAGGTCAAATGGTTCAATCAGAATTCCTCACATATACATTAAACACCTATCATTTCAAGACGTTATTTAGAGACCACCGCAACTATCTAACCAATGAGTTGTTTCGGCTGGAAGTAATTAATACGAAAAACCGGTGGGGACATATCAACTTCATGTATTTCATATTTTCAAATTCACGAATTCACAATTTCAAATTCATGAATTCATGTTTCAACATCATGAGTTCACGATTTCAACTTCATGAATTCACGAAGTTAAATTCTTGAAGTTGAAACCGTGAATTCGTGAATTCCGTATGCTGAAAACTGGAATTCAAAATATTGAATTCATGAAGATGAAATCGAGAATTCATGAAGTTGAAATGTCCCTACTGGTCTTTCGTAAATTCATCGTGACTTGCGCACCATTTAGTGTATAGTAGGTCTTGACCAATGACTTGTGTGCAGCATTTCATATCATTCTCTCACTCCGTTTTTCAAGAATTTGTAGAGTCATTTCTTTTGCAAAAAATGACATAAAAAGCAAAGCAAACGTTAACACATGCTTTTACTTAAGGTATTAGGACCCTAATGGGCACTATCAGGAACTAAAAAATTGACATCATAAGTCAGATGTATACCTTAAAGTACACCTGTATGCAAAATTTAAACAAAGTTTACCGTACGGAAATCAAGTTATGGCCACTTTTTCTAAACTCAAGCTAGGATGTTATGAGGGCCCTTTTTTAGAAAGTAGGAACCTTTAAATAATCTGCAATAACATTCTAATGAAAAATGTTTTCCCATTAATTTTTGGTAAGAAACAAATAGTACCATTCAGCTAACAATCCAAATAAGCAAAATTATGGTTTCTACATAAAATTTATGAAATCTGTATAAAAATGTTACCCTACCCCACCCATTTTTACCACGTTTCTGACCATTTTTCTACTTAGGGAGCCTAATTTAAACAAGAGCCCGGTTTGAGCCGGGAGATGCTCCCCGAATAGGTTTTGGACACAGGAAAGTACACCTCTTGTAGTTTCAGAGTTATGTCCGTGGAAAAAGTTCAAAGTGCAATAATTCTAAAATTAGGCAAGGCAGAGTTACAGTTCTTTGCACTGCACTTCTAATCAATGTGATCTATCAACCTACAAAGTTTCTTGATGATATCTCTTATGATTTCCGAGTTATGTCCTGGACAATTCAAAAAGTAAAAATAAACAAAGGGCAATAACTCCAGAATTAGGCACGGTAGAGTTATGATTCTTGTGCACTGCACATCTACCCATTGAGATTTATCTACCTACAAAGTTTCATGTTGATATCTCTTATAGTTTTACAAACTATGTCCTGGATAAGATTTTTTCTAAAAGGGGAGATTATTCAAAAATAAGGCTTAACAGAGTTTATGGTTCTTTTGCACTGCACCTCTACTCAATGAGATGTATCTACCTACAATGTTTCATGTTGATATCTCTTATAGTTTTAGAGTTATGCCCCGGACAAGATTTTCTATAAGGGGAGATAATTCAAAAACCAGGCAAAATAGAGTTATGGTTCTTTGACACTGCACCCCCCTTGATGCCCTCTACCACTGTATGAAGTTTCAACAAATTATCTCCAAGGGTTTCAAGTTATGTTCCGGACAAAGTTCAAGTTCAAAGTATTAAAATAAAAAAGGGCAATAACTCCAAAATTAGGACAAAAAGAGTTATTGTTCTTATGCACTGCACATCTACGCATTGAGATCTATTCACCTACAAAGTTTCATGTTGATATCTCTTATAGTTTTAGAGTTATGCCCCGGACAAGATTTTTCTATAAGGGGAGATAATTCAAACACCAGGCAAAATAGAGTTATGGTTCTTTGACACTGCACCCCCCCCTCAATGCCCTCTACCACTGTATGAAGTTTCAACAAATTATCTCCAAGGGTTTTCAAGTTATGTTCCGGACAAAGTTCAAAGTATTAAAATTAACAAAGGGCAATAACTCCAAAATTAGGACAAAAAGAGTTATTGTTCTTATGCACTGCACATCTACCCATTGAGATCTATTCACCTACAAAGTTTCATGTTGATATCTCTTATAGTT